ATAAATATGGACAACTAAAGTAAATAGTTGTAAACAACATTTTTGACATAAAACATTCAACTTCTCACATACACCCATGATTATAGGAACACTGTAATCAAAAATTTATTCTGTTTTATTTACAACAGTTCCTTTACTATTTTACTGGACCCTTTAAACCCTTCAAATATTACATTTCCTTTAAATTAGCCCTCAGACTCCTGAAACAAGCTCAATACATCTTTTGTAATATCAACAAGCATCATGACCTGTCCCCAATCAAATACCCAGTCAAGCATTGCAGACATATAAACTGTGACCCACCATGCTGTTTCTTCTCTATGAGAAGCCGCTAATCTATTGAACCCAATGCTTCTCATAATGAACACAAATTTGAAGCATACTTTGCATGCTGTCACCAGACATAAAATAGATTTTATTGTTTAATCTAATTTAGTACAAAGCACTTAGTGGCTTTTTCCCCCCATCTGTGAGAGGCAGCAGGTATGCCTCTAAATCACTTAATCTTCTTGAGGGTTAATGTGTCCCATTATAATATCAAATCATTTATACATTATTTCAGATAAACTATAGCTCTGATAAGGGGCCTCCACCTTCTTGACTGCATTGACTAATTTAAAATTTCTGTGTCGTTAGTGTCATTTTTGGTCAAGCTGACATCACTGACTGGCTGAGAGCACTGTGGGCAAGTTAAGGATGGAAGAAAGGAATACCAATTTTTTTTTAAAGTTTTAAAGGTAAGTAGAAAGTGAAAGTGGCAGAAAATGGAGTAACAGACTGAACTAGTGACACATTTAAAATGGTAAGTGTAAGTTAGTAGCAAGGTGAGGGGTAGTGAATATGACAGCACTAAAATGGTTAGGAGGAGGAAATTGAGTTGGTGAAGGAGTGTTGGCACGTACGGATTCTCTGTATTTACTAAATCTGCATTCACACATATAGACTCCCATTCATGTCATTTAATTACAAATGCTGATTCTCCACATACACCCTTGCACTTACACAAACATACACGTAAATGTAAAAAATATATCTTTGCTTTCAGATATGAATAACCAAAATGAATAACCCCTTAATTTACACACAAACAAGACCACACAAAATACTGACAAACAACACAATATATACACATACCATGAATATTCATTTGTGATAATGAGGTGAAATAAAGAATTAAATGTCATGAAATAAACCATTTAATGCAGTTGAATATTTGATCATAATAAAAAACATGTAAAAAACATTATGAAACCTAGTTTAAAAATGGTGTCTAGAAGAGGGAACTAAAGAGAAAAAAGAAGAATATGGACTTTAACTGACAAGGCTTGAGATTCAGATAAATTATAATGGAGACTAGAGACAGAATGAAAGAGCAAGGAAAGTATGGTCAACTGGATAAACTTTACAGTAATCTCTATTGTGTTTGATTGTATCACATAATTTTGTGCATCAGCTTAATAAAAATTAAAAGGTTGCTATGGAATCATGGTATATGGGTGACATGAAACAGTACATCGGAATAAAAGAAATTAATAATGATTTATTTTGCTGCAGGATAGGATGAGGGCCATTGCATCACTTAAAGAGGAGAAATTACATATATAACTATCATTGAATGAAATACACATATACTAGTATGTTTAAATAATGCTATGTTATTATTATGTCTCTTCCTTTCAGCCTTTAGTATATTTAGTACTGCTTGTTAAGACAGTGGTGTCAAAGACACCACTCAGTCCAGTGACCACCACATGACTGTGAGAATTCCTCATCACACACACAGTGCTCTTCAAAATGTAATTCACAGTGTCCTATTACATATTTAACATAAAATGTGAAAACAATATAAACATAGTGTTATGTCAATATGTATGCATATTTGGGTGCGTGCACTATGCAAAAAAATATTATGTAATACATAAAATGCTGTAAAATAACATTTCAAAGCATTTTCAAACACCAAACTCTCCTCTCTCTCTTTCACTCTCCTTTTCTCTTTCTCCCTATTTCTCGCTCACACCATCCTCTGCGATTTGACCATATGTTCAAGTTCTAATGTACAAAATCTAGGCAAGCTATAACATATGTTTAATTATTTCTATAGAGGTTTAAAAATAAGTTGTATTAGGAATTGTACTTGATTGGACACAAGATTCAAAAATTACAGTTGTTTTTCACTGTAATTGAGGTGAAACTGCAAGCAATGGCATCAGATTATTTTTGGCCAGTTAATTATCATATGAAGCGAAAAAATCAAATAATACTGATTTTGCAACTTTTATTCAAAATAGTCTCTAAGTTGGCAACAAGTCTTGCATAACATTTCTCATACTTAAGAAGTTGTTAAGGTTACATTACAAGAAGAAGAAGATCTGACTCTGGTCCCCACGGCTGCTTGAAACTGACACAACCTAAATACTATATATTTGTATGTTATAATAGCATATAATTAACAAATATCTAATACTTTAAGACATAATGACTATTAGTATTACTTTAATACTTGTGTAATCACATTTTATATATATATATATATACATATATAGATATATATAAAAATTAAAAATTGCCGGCACTCCTGGATTTGCAATTAAATAGTATTATTGTCACAAATGGTTGACGTTTCAGTTCTAATTTGGAACTTTCATAAGGACACAACAAATGGTAAAATGCAAATGAACGGATTTTTATACTGTGTAAGCAAATTAGTTGATCACTTGCCACCCTCAGCTGTTTGTCCAGTGGGCTGGGCTGACTGCTCCGGTGAGAGGGCACACAACTGAATCACCTGGATGATTACCTCATGTCAGAGGCATGGTCCGCCTCTCTAGCAAGTGTATCCGGCGTCACTGAATTGCTAGGGCAACCGCTGATACTATTCGGCAATTGGATGCCCGTGCGCACGCCAACAACTTGTGGACACTAACATGTTTATCGGACACTCAGGAAGCTCCACCAATCTAATATGTGTGTCTGACGGTGTCTCTAAGGCTCCCAGACCACGCCAATCCCACTGGGCTAAATAAAAACAGCTTACTGCTACCCGTGGCCCCAGACTGTATATAGCATACCTCAAACATCAATATATTACTATTAAAAAACAAAACCAAGGTTTGAATCAATACTTATATACATGAATGTGTTAAGATACGTTTTACAGCCCATCAATCAAAGGCATAAAAATATATTTTCATGTGAATAAAAGAGTGAATATAAAACCCCCAAATATAAAACTAAAGTGCAAAATAGTACTAAAGTCCATTCAAAGTGCTTCAATAAGTACAAAAAAGCAATCCTAATTTATCTAAACGATTACAATATCATACATAGACAAAAGGACAATTATATGTCTCAAATACTTGTATAAAATGTACAAAATAAAGTGCTTAAAGCCAGATTGTGCAAGAAGTAATAGTCCGAATTGCTAAAAATGCAATGAAAGTGGAAAAAGTGCCCCAAAAGGAAGAAAACATGGGATAAGCAGCAAGAGTGTCCCAAGGTTTTGAACAATAGGAAATAATAGATGGATAGTTCGGACATAAATCAGGATAAACCATTTAGTAGAGGTGGTACAAAGAGAAAATAAAGTGATCAATAACAGATCTCAATATATCAATAAAATATAAAAAAAAAAACCAATATAAATAAAAGCACATATGCCTATATATAAAATAATAGGACAGTGTATATCCATTAGAATACAATCATAAGAATGGTAAAAAGGAGCACTTCTCATTGAGACCATTGGGAGACATTGTATTCAGCTCAATGATCCAAAATGTTTCCAGCTATAATAACAATTTGGCCCTATCACCCTCTCTTACAGGTGTTGGGATATGATCAATCGCAACACATCCAAGTGTTGAGAGGTGGTGGTAATTTTCCAAAAAGTGTCTGGCCACATGTTTGTCCAACTTGCCATCTCTGTAGGCAAGCCAGATACTTGACCTGTGTCCCCTGATCCTTTCACAGTATGGTTTTAGTTTTTCCAACATATTTAAGGCCGTAAGGGCAAGTCAACTGAGTCATTTTACACAGCGTGGAAAAATTCTAAAGAATTTTGACCCCCATAGAGTGAGGGAGGACATGGGGGGCTTAGGAACTGGAGGGGAACACAGCTCCCTGACACTTTTATCTTTACATATTACAAGGAGGGAGCTGCACTCTGGTAGCTCCCTCCTTGTAATAAACTAAACGAACAAACAAACGAACACCGATATTCGGTGTTTGTTTGTTTGTTTGTTCGTCTGACATTTCTATTAAAAAAAAAACGGATGTGGCCATGACAGTGCTGCTTTAAGATTTAAGTTGTAAAGAAAAAGCCAGATATTAAACAGTTATTTAAATAAAATGTGGTACAAAATTCATTGGATGAATAAAAATGTCCAAATTGTTTCATACTTTTAATTTGCATTTAAACCTTTTACTCTACTGGAGTAGAAGGCTAAATTTATATTTAGCTCAAGTCACTCACCATGTGTATATTTGTTTTTTGACATTCACAAAAAAACACACAAACAAAAAACACAAAAGAAAAAAGAAAAAACAGAAGATGGAGGTACTATCGATTAAAATTTCACATAAATTACTAATGAAACATTCTATAGGCAATGTTTCTCTCATGCCCTCTGTGACGAGACCAATTTCGCCACATTGCATTGGAGAAGCCTGGTTGCTCGCCTGCTGCCTCTGGACTATGGCCCCCTGTTAAAAGACTTTGTTTTGCCTGCAGAAAAGCTGTATTCGTGCTTTTCTGCCGGTTGTTCGGTAGATTCAATCTACAGAACAACCGCACAAATGAATAGACCACCTGGGAGCTGGAGTGTACAGGCAATTAACCTCCCTGAAGCTGCGGTTAACCGCAGCTTAATTGACGAATGCTGGGTGGCCGCCATTCATATCCCGAACTCGAGGTCGCAGCCATTTTAACATACGAATGCACAGCGGTGTTCATCTCTGTTTTCATGGTCCTAAAATCGGACACAGTTTGCGCAAACACCGCTGAAGCCGCCGACCTCCCTTCTTGTTCGGTGGAAGTGCACGAACGGCCGGTGTTCGGTAGTTTTGTTTGAATGTGTTATACCCCAGATAGGAATCCCATGAAGCCCATTCGTATGAAACTGACCGTAAAGACTTTGGCTCCATGGCGATTAAACTGTATTCGTGTGGTCTGAGCGCCATTCGCTTAATAATGTGCGCTCAGACCTGAGCTATCTGGGGATATGTTAAATGTATAGTTTGAATGTAATGTGTCTTACCTGGTGTATTTTAACAGTAATGCTTGTTTTAGTATCCCCATGTGCATAATGGAGATTTGCCTTTGTCTTGGGAGATAATTGAATTACTTCTCAATTATCTCCCAGGGCAGAAGGGAGGAAGCCAGGATGCATTGTGGGAATATACTGTGTGTCCTATTTGTCTGCTTGTCTGTCCCTTGTCACAGTTTCCCATTTGGTCCCCTGGGGGAGTGTCCACCGGGTGGGAGACCTGCATAAATACTGGGCAGGTAGCACTCATTAAACAGACCACTGCTTGACCCTCAACACGGAGCCTTGTCTCGTCTTTGGGGGGATTTACTGTATGCTGATAGACTGATTGCTAGGAGTGTAAGCCGCTTGGAGGCTTTTCCTATTCGTCTGCTAGCAGCTATTCGTATGGTTCCAGTTCGTGTGTTTGGAGTGCTGTATTGGATGCCGTTTGGAGCATTCACTTATTGGCGGTTCGTGAGTTTGGTGCTTTACAGTAGCTGTGCCTGCATCTCTGGAAAGGGGGCCGATCGCCTTAACGGTTTTTACCCCTTGTGTGCAGAACGGTCCGTTACACCCTCTTTGTGGAGAATAATAAACCATTGCATTTTTGTAATAGGGAATTCCTTCATTTTTTCCCTCAATGAGTATTTAAAATAGTTGGGTGCTAGAAGTCATTATGTGCTTTGTTGTAGGATTGCTTCATTTTTTTGTCCAACAACAGTTAATAGTTATACATACTAGACGTGTTTTCTAGAGAAAATCAATGGATTTAGTAGTGGCAGGATAAACAATCTGTGTTGCTGACACTGCTTTGTACATGAGCAGAAATCTTAAACTTATCCACAGCAAGTGTTTTGTCAGTCTGGGTCTTCAGTTATCGGGCTACATTGTTAATCAATTTAGAACACAACTTCCATAGCATCATGAAGACATTATCTTTCCTAAAGATGAATCAATACTTCTTTCTGAAAAGAATATGTCTTCTAGACAATGGGTTGGCAAAGAGTCAAGACGATGGGTACGAGTCTGAAAATACAGTTGGAGATTAAAGATTGAGCACACTATAAGTTATAGCTTGTTATGACAAAGCAATACTTAGAATGTCACACATTTAAGTTAGATTTTAACATATTGATGTTTATTGGATGTGTGTATTTATTTCATCTGAATTACATTGTTTGAAAAAAAAAATGTTGCACTAATCGGAATTATGAAATTGTATGCGATTTCTTTTATAATTGTTTTGGGAAAAAATATTTAGGCAAACTAAATGAGTGTGAAATTTGCCAGTGTACTTCAAATATAAATATTACAGTATTTTGCTGGAATCCAGACGCACCCTTCATCTTTCCAGCCTTGTGTTTAAGAGCTTTTCTGGGAAACTCCCACCCCACCTGAACAAAATGCTTTCCCCAGCTGTTCCTACTTCCTATAACCTCCGATCCAGTACCAACACTTTACTTAGTCTACCTCAATACAAAAAGAAAGCAGCCCGATCCTTCTTCTCCTACAGAGCGCCGCAATTGTGGAATGACCTCCCGCACAATTTAAAATCTTTCCTAAGCCTAAAGTCCTTTAACAGATCCCTCTCTACACTCCTCAAAACAGAATGCACCTGTTATGGTTGATTATATATTTCCTACCTGTTCTATGTTAAATTTTGTATTTATTGTGTATTAATATTGTTTTTGTATTTTATTGTACCCTAATGTAACAATGCAATGATTTGTGGAACCAGGACATAATTGAAAACGAGAGAAATCTCAATGTATCTTTCCTGGTAAAATATCTTATAAATAATATTGACAGGTGCATTTTTGTGTCATTAGGTTCACAGATCAAGTGAGAAGTAAGCAATAGAGAAAAAAAGAAAAATGGTAAAAGAAAAAAAAACAACAATATAAATATATATTAAAAATATATACTATATAAATATAGATTTTTTTTTTCTTTACCTCTACAGGTCAGTTGTCACTTGATCTGTTAATACAATCAACATTTAGTGGCTGTTCCCTAGCCACCAATCAACTTTTTTACATAGCAAATATAGGTTTTTTTTAAGCAGACGTAACTATGAATCATGAATCCAAGTTTTGTGCATTGTACATTATATTTGTTTTGTCATTCATTCATATAGCGTTTCGGAGATAGGGATTTTTGATGAACCACTGATTCACACAGATTGCAATTAACTTTACACTGAATACACAAGTCTAATATTTATTTCTTATTACTTTGCTATTTTGGAGCAAGTGCAACCATTTGACATTTCATGGAACATTTATTTATATACTATAACAATGTTACCATTTTACCTGTAGTTTACCACTGTCCATGTAGTTTGTCTTACTGTTATTTCCAGCAAATGTATTTTACCAATAGTCCAAGTACATATATTTTGTCACTTTTGCACATTTTTCAGTTGTATACAACAAATGTTTGATCTGCTTCCCCCCTTTACATTCTTTGTCCCCCATTGCAATACATTCATTTATTGTTACATAGACCTCATTCCAAAAACCTGCCAACAGAAACAGTCTTTGTTTCCACTAAACACTATCCACCCATCCTCCATACCTTTTCAACTGTTTAGTATCACACTCAATTACCTTCTCAATCCAGTAGCTGCAATTACCATTTTCAATTCTCTCTTGCCATCACCTCCACATTTCTCTGCTACCTTATTTCCGCTCCCCATTTTAGCCTTTAGATTGCAAGCTCATCGGCTATCTAGCAAAGTACTCTGTAAGAAAGAGCTTCAGTGGCTAGATCTCTACTCATGGGCAGGGCCCTCTTTACTAGAGAGTACAGTGCTGCAGAATATGTTTATACTTTGTAAATGCCAGCTATAATAATAAAATAATTCATTTAAAATTATTACATAGTTTTAGCTTTTAACACACATAATAAAAACATGTATCCTTCATGAATTTTATTTTAATTGTCAACATAACAAGAACACAATATTCAGTGTAATCAAAGTATTCCATCATCCATGACTGTTGGGATTATTATTAGTTAAATATAAAGGATATAGAGACTGAGAATAGTATGGACTGAGGCACTGGAGTGCTGTCATGGCCTGTCATAGCAACCTGGTCCTCTAGACAGGTTCTGTAATGCTATTTCTTTATGCATTGTGCTTAAGACATACAGAAATAGCATGGTACAGGTCATTGAAACTCGCATTTAAATGGACATTTAAATGACAGACATAACCTGTCACTCAGTACATTGGTGTTGAGAATACACAGAGGCTTTCCAATATTTGTGTTTTAAATGTATATTAAGATAATGTCTTCAACAAAATAATGCAGTTAAAAAAATGATAATTCCTACTAGCATAGACATTCTGTAAATAGTTTTTTTGTAAGATAAGTTTCACATTAATTTGTTTCATCTATAAATTTACAAACATCTTTAGTTTGATATCTTGTGCGAAGGTTAGTTTGAATTAACTATGCCACAAGCATACATTTGCTTATCTCTTTCTACTGTATTATTATGTAAATAAATCTAATTAGATCACTAAGACAATGTTTGCAAAAAGTAATTTTCCAAGGATTAATATGAATCCGCTGTAATATTTTTAAATAGGGTTCATAAAACAGCTTATTTAAATAGAAAGTAGCATAATAATTTAGCCACATGTATCTAAGATAAAAGCTAAGGATTGAATATGTGAAAGTAAAAGATGTTATCTTTCATTTTCAGATTGTAGTATTAAATATTAGAGGCAAACATTGTACTTTGTTTTATCTTAGCAATAATTATGTCTCTGATTGTAAATAATAAAACCATGTTGATTCCTTTGATGCACTGTTATTTTTTTAGACAATATCCATTTACTACATTATTATGATGAAGAGTTTATTTATTAAACCAGCAACTGAGGATTATTGACAAGTGAACTACTAACTTTAGGCTAAAATACTAAGGGCTGGATTTTGAATAAGGGTTTACCCTGCTTGCTGAATAGCAATTTTCCCAAAGACTGTAATGGAGGAATCACTGTTCAGTAAGAAGAGTAAACCTCACTCTGCTAAGAGAATCCAGCGTCCCAAGTTGGAAGCTTGCTTAACAATTCTAGATTACATCCCCCACCATAAAAATGCGGACGAAAAGGACTTTGATGTGTCACATGGCACAAGAGGCTGAGCCTCTCCCCTTCATCTTGGAGCAAAAAGAAATTGTGATAGAGACTGTCATGCTGAAATATGTGTCTAGCTGAACTAGATATCTCTTTGTTGTCAGGATGAACATGTACAAAAGGAGAAGGGAATTGTAACAAATAAAATAGTTATATAATGTGTGCTAAAAGTGTGGCGGTCCCATCTAGAATGTTCACACCAGCAACTTAAGTGTGAAACCTCTAGGAAAGTAATTAATGAATGTTACCACTGGGTGACAGCCATTTCATATAATGAAACGCACGTGGTCAACAAAAGAAGGGTGGCCATCTTGTCTTCAGAATGTGGGCGGTGGTACTTGGTCATCGAGTGTCTGGAACCCTTTTCGGCTAGGCACTTGCACGAACACTGGTAAAATTTAGACCACTGCCCGTTCTATTTCCCGACCACCTATACGAATGACATTCAGGAGATATGAACTACCGAACAGGGGGAGCATTTGTATCCTAAAATCAGGAGATTGCCTTGCTTGTTGTTCGCACAGGAACCCCATGAACAGAGACTGGCCAGGAAACCTATTCTCCTAGAACTGTTTTGGGATAGTGCTTCATGTCTGGCTGGTCAAAATTTGTTCGATGGCATTCCCGTTCCACCAAACTGATCGGAGTGATCTTTGTATATGTTATACACTCAGATCGGGTCTATCTGGGGATGTAATTTTTGTGTGGTTCCTGTTTATGGTGGGGACACTTTAGGGGTACTGTATTTTTGTATGGATTTTCTGTACCTGAGAGATAATTGAATTGGAGGGTTTTTTCTCATGCAATTATCTCTCCG